TGCCCAGAGCAGGGAGCTTGTCAGGCTCAGACCCTGGGAAGCTGAGCCCTTCTTCCTCCCGGGAACTCACCACTTGTTCATCTAGAGTAAGCAGCGTCCGGGGCACCTTGGGTGAAGCTGAGCTCAGTCGCAGGCAGGTAGGGCTCAACCGGGGAGCCACATGTTCCAGAAGCTTCTTCGGGGATAGACCCCTCGGGGGACCGGGTGGCAGTGCGTCCTCTGAGATGGTGCCACGGAGGGTCCGGAGCTGAGGATGGGTTGTAGAGACATTCAGTTTCTGTGCAGGCTGTGGAGAAGGGACCCACCTCCTGAGCCTGTAACCCCAGCCAACCTGCGTGGTCCGCACGATGACCCGGTAGCTGTATAGGGTGCCCCCTCCGCTGCCCTCTTTCTCCTCCCGTCGCAGGCTCACTGCCACAGGACCCAGCGCCTCATCCAGCCCAAAGAAGTTCTGGTGTTCTAGGGTGGGGGTTATGGGTCACATCCACAGCCCTCTCCCTTCTTGGCCACGCCCACCACAGAAGTACCACCCTGGGCGTCCTCTCACCAAGCTCAGAACCTGAGAGAACCCGCCCCCTTTTGCTGAGGCACCTTGTCCCAGGTCCTGGGAAGGAAGGCCTAAGTGCTCCCGGGTTTAAAGGCTGCACTAGCTCCACCACTGCTCAAATTCTTTCTGGACACTGACGTTTCTTTTCCCCATAATGGCGAGAACAAGGTTTCGTCAAATAGGTATGGGGTAGGAAATGGCTCGCTGGCCTGGAGGTTATGAAGATGAACTAGATGGAAGGGACACTACCTGACTTCTGGGGTGACACCAGAGCTCGGCCTTAGAGGGGTTCAGCGCCTGCTCCTTTGTACAGCCGGGGACTTTTCAGGGAAAGGACAACCCGTGAGCCTCCTGCTGTATGCTCTGGAGACCACAGGGACCTCTGCCCCAGACCCTCTCCTGCTTCTCCCAGGCTCGCCTGCCCTTACCTTTGCCATAGAAGTACTTGCGGTAGTAGCCAGCACCCAGATCTGCATGCTCCAGGCTGTAAGCTGTGGTTCGGGTCTGTGGTTCCTCCAGGACCGACACAGCCGCATTAGGTAGAGCAGGGGGCACAGGTGGTGACACTGGTCCACCCAGTCCTAGCTCACCCTCACCACCAAGCTCGCTCACAAAGCCAGGTGCCTCAAGCAGTAGATCTGAGGTGGCAGTCTGGTCTTCAGCGGAGGCCAGGGTCCCAGACCGGGCCTCTGTATGGCTTCCTGTCCCCCGAGGTCGTGGCGCCCAGTCAAAGAGCAAGCTCTGCACATCATAGTGAGCAAACCACCGGGGCTCCAGCACAGGTGGGAAGGTGGGTTCTGGCTCCTCAGCTGGCAACCCCAGAAGTGCTAATGGGTCAGTGAAGAGCCGAGTAGGGGTTGCAGCAGGGCGGCTGGCATCCTCGTGGCTGTGGGCACGGGCACGGGGGCTAGTTGGTGTAGACGGCCGGACTTTGCCGGCATCACTGCCGCTGCGCAGGAGTGGGCCCCTAGTCGGCCTTGGCTCAAAGGTGTGTGGCGTCAGCGGAGGCCGGGAGGGTTGGCGCAGCTTACGGGCAAAGAGGTCATCTGTAGGTGCAGGGGCCATGCCCCGCCGAGGACTCCCCACTCCGCCGGCCCACATGGGCATGCTCTGTGGGCCTGACTCTCTGAGGGCCGGGCCGCATTGGTGGGCACAGGTCCTTGGTGCCCAGCCAGAAGGCTGAGATTTCAGTGGTTCCTGCCCTGACGGAGGAGAGGGCTGCTCAGATGGGCCTGGGGAGAAAACAGGAACTCAGGCCCCCGGCCCAGTCGTCCACCACCCCAGTTGGCTTCCGGCCTCCTCTGGGACCATCAAAGCTGCTTCCGCTTTCCTGGCCACTTCCTTGTCTGCCTGAGGCGGAGGTTTCCAGCCCCCTCCCAGGCTTAGCAGTGGACAGGGTTTAGGACTGAGCTTTGCTGCTGTTGTCTCAATGCCTGGGCAACAGAGGGGGTGCCAGGGCCTCCCAGTTCCCACCTGTACACCTTAGGCCTAGGTCCACAGTCAAAGCCACCAAATTCTGGACAGTTTCCACAGGGACGGAAATCAACACAGCCACTGGTGTCTGGGTCTTGCCCGCTTGACAAAGGGAGGACGTCCTGTCCCCAGAGACCTTCCTCCCTGGTGCCTCCCACTTCCTCCAGGGTCCCCCATGAGCGGAGCACCCAAAGGCTGGTCTCAATGCCCTGGTTCCCGTAGCCTCAATACCTCAAGGACATAGGGGCTCCTGGGGCAGCTGCTTGTCAGAGGCAGTGGCAAGCTTCCTTCAACACAGGAAGTGGCCCCAACTCAGCCCAGCCCCCTGCTTGGCCCCTATATCCTGAGGAAGGTGCTATGGTCACAACAGTTCAGTCATGGGACCTAAGACACCCAGGTCTAAAGACAGGACTGGTACCAATCTCTTGCAGGTTCCTACGCCCATGCTGGGGCAAGAGAGGGACTAATGCCGGCAGAACCCCATGGATGTCTGTCTACCTGGCCTCACAGGGACAGGGAGGTCTGAACCCAGTGGGGCAGGTCAAAATGAGGCCTGGTTACAAAGAAGAGCTTGCCTGAATTAGTTCCTTGTTCAGAGTAGAATTTGAACCTGGTCTGCAAATCCCTAGCACAGTGTTCACAACCTTCCCAACGCTGGGGCCCTTTAATATAGTCCCTCATGTTGTGGTGACCTCAACTATAAAATTTTCATTGCTACTTTGTAACTATAATTTTGCTACTGTTATGAATCATAAATATGATACGCAACCCCTGTGAAAGAATCATTTGACCCTTGAAGGGATCGTGACCCACAGGTTGAGAACTACTGCTCTCCAGCAGACCTGCACCTGCCTAGTCTCCCTGTAGGCGTAGGTGGAAGGCAGGTTTGTGAGGGGTGCTGAGGTCTCAGGTTCAAGGTCTCACAGGATGTACGGCTGGTGGCTGAGACACACAAGGCCCCAGAGACCTGCTAAGTGCGGAAATGTGGTGGAGGCAGACTAGGCAGGTGCAAAAGGTGTGAGAACAGAGAGGTGCCCTCCGGGTGACTGGGGATGGAGTCCACAGCTAGGGCAGGGGCATGAGAACTCTCACTGCGGGTGCGGGCAGTGTTGGTGAGTTTTCATACGTCATCTAGTGACATCAAGTGGGGTGAGTCCCAAGGGGATGGGGAGCCCCTCTAGGGTGGACCACTCAGCTGGGTCTCTAGACCTTCTCCTCCTCCTCAGGGGCTTCCTGACTTGGTTTCCCCTAGGACAAGCTCTGGGGCTGAACGTCTTGTTTTCTGTGAAGACTGCTGGGGCACTGAGGGGGTGAAGTCAGCCAGCTACGTCTGTGTGTCTATGCAGCCCCAGCTCCACTGGCCGAGCTGTGGGCACGTGCAGGCTTGGACTCGGGCTACAGTAGAGAGAGGGAACTCCAGGGAGGGTCTGTGAAGGCTCGTCTCCATAAGGGCTGAGCTCTGAGACTGTGCAGCCCAGCCCATGAGCGGCCTCTTGTTCTGGCCCTGCCTTAAGGGGTGTACTTGGGCTCTGCCCCCATCCCACATCTTCACACAAGGTCCATTGAGGCCAGGACATTCCTTGCAGCCTGTGTCACTGAGGGGGGAAAGGGGGCGCCCCGCCCCCACAGATCCGGAAGGCCTGGCTGCCCCAGGAGGAGGCGCTGGATGTTTCCCAGCACATCTGGAGGTCATGACCCCCTTTCTGTTGCCAGGGAGCGTTACAGATGTTTCCTCCCAGGACAGACCCAGTATTGCAAGGCTGGGAAAGAGGTCACACTGGGAAAAGGAGAGCTCCAGAAGAGGGGGAGTCCCAGAATAGGGGGAACCCCAAACACACACAGCAGCAGGAGCAGTTGCCAGAGTTGTTGGGAGCCGTCCTGAGCCAATGAATCCACTCAGCAGCTCGGGAGTGGGAGCTGCCAGCAGGAGAGAACATAGACACTGAGCGTGCTGACTGGAGCAGGAGGTTGGGGGTGTCCGCAGTGAAAGCAGCAAGCAGTTCCGTCCCTCCCCACACTCCACGGGTCCACATCCAAGTCACTTTGTTGGGTATCCAGTTCTAACCTGGTGCCTCCCGTTCCCTGATCCCGCCAGTACCTCTTGGGCTCCCGCTGGCCGCTGCTGCCTTCCGCACCAGGGTCCCACCGCCTGCTCTCTCACCGCTCCGGCCGGCCGTGCCGCCGCTCCGCCTGGGGGCGGGGCCTGAATGGGGCGGTGCGTGGCGGAGGTTGGGGAGAAGGGCGGGACTACCCGGGAGCAGTCCTAGGCGGGAAGCACAGCGGGTGGGGACCTCAGGCAGAGATCTAGGCGGCCCTGGAGGGTCTGCAGCCCAGAGCGCTGTCCCAGCCTCCCCAGATGCCCTTCTAACACTCCAGTCTGAGCCCAGTCCACATCCTCACCAAGAAACGAGAACAAATGTACCCTCTTTCCAGACCAATCAGAGAGCTAGAGGCCACCTAGTGTCCAGCTGTGGCCCAGCAGACAGCAGGTGTTCAGGCCCAGAAACGATTTCACTCTTTAAGGGCTGGGCCTAAGTAACTGTTCTACAAAGGCTGTTACTTGTTCTTAAAACTTCTGTACGCCAGGTGTAGTGGGGGGCGCTATTAACCCCAGAGCCCTGGAGGCAGAGGCTGGAGGATCTGAGTCCTGAGTCCGAGGCCAGCCCGATCCACATAGGGAGTACACAGTGAGACCCTCTCTCAACAAACAAAAGACTTTCTGTGTAAGTGTAATCCTCCTTAAGCTTGGAAGAGCTGGGGTTCAGAGTAAGGCTTTGGTCAAGATCAAGCTGATGACTATGTGGGACACTAGGCCTGGAGTCTGTCCACATACAGGAGTGTCTGAAAAGCAGACAGGCTGGTGAGGAGGGCAACCCTCGGTACTTGATCCCCACTTTAGACTAACCCCATATCCTTCACCCTTCCTACCTTAGTTACCTCTAGCAACCTCACCTAGTCCCACATAAAAGAAACTGCCAACCAAAATCAAAAATAGTGTTATTAATTTGGTGTCTCTGAAGCACAGAGAAAAAGAAAAATGACAAAAAGAAGGAACGAAACCACCCTTGCCACACGTCAGGTCCCAGGTCCACCCTTGCCAAATGTCAGGTTCCAGGTCCGGGCTAAAGAGACCAGCCTTGGAGGCAGTGCAGGCCCAGGGGCAAAGTCAGTCCTGGCCATGGGCTCAAAGAGGGACCAGCCCATGGGTTTGGTTCTTAGGGCCTGGCTAGGAGGCTCCTGCCTCACTTTGGGGTATCCAGGCCATGGATCAGGAAGAGAGTCTGTTCAACTCAGTTCTGATTCCGCCTGAATTAGCCAGAGATCTGGGTGCAGACGCCAGTCTATTTCTGTGGTCCAGCAGAGTCCGAGTTACTGAGTCCTGGGATGATACCCAGTAGAGGTCAGGGCTGCTCAGTACTGATGCTCCAGCAAGGGCTGGGCAGCTGGGCTCTCACGTTCCTCAACAGTGACAGGCCAGTCACCTGGGGCGCCAGTGGGTGTGACACTTTCAGGGGCGCTGCTGTCCAAGCAAGGAATGTCCTGGGTTGTTCTGGCAGGTGAGGCTTCCGAGCTGACATCAGGGCTGAGGCTGAGGTCTAGGGGCGCCTGTGGAAAGGAGGGCAGATGAGCATACAAGCAGACCCGAGCCTCCTGGGATCTCATCCTCCCACAGGTCCCTTACCTGAGATTTGGGGGTGCCTCCTTTGGGGCTCCCTGAGGCTGGCTCCCCATCAGATCCTCCCAGTCCCTTCCGACCCCCCAGACTCCACTTCCCACTGGGCCCCTCAGAACTGAGGAGACCAGGTCCAGGAGGTCTTGAGGGCCGGGGACCCTCAGTGGGAGCAGGTGAGGCAGGGGGTGGTCCAGAGAGCCGAGGGGGAGGCCACTGCAGCAGAGGAGGGGGCCGCCCATCACCAGAGCCACTGAGGGAAGGCCGAGGCCCCCAGCTAGGACCTGGTGGGAGGGGCTGCTCACTGCTGCCTGGAAGAGAGAGATAAGAGCCAAGACATCAGCTGGGCTACAGCCTCATGCACACAGGTCCAGCCCAGCTTTGCTTACTTACCTGCTGTGTTTTCAGGTGTGGGATGTGCCAAGGGGGGGTTATTGCTGAGAGAGGTCAGGCCGCCACCCCCTGCACAGTCCGAGTCATCCACATTCCCACCGCTATTGCAGCCAGCGCCACAGCCCTTATGCAGTCTGGGTGGAAAAGCGGGACAAGTGTGAAAGGGAGGCCAGGGCTGAGGAGAGTCTCCTGAGCCCTAGGGAGTCACCTCACATCTGAGCCTCAGGATTCTCAGGGGTCTTTGTTGTTGTTGTTGCTTTTTTAATTGAGCAATTTTAATTAATTTTCTCTGCTCCCCTCCCTCCCTCTCCCCTCCCTTCAACCCTCTCCCAAGGCCCCATTTACTCAGGAGATGTTGTCTTTTTCTACTTCCCAAGGATCCTCATCTCTTAGGAGATTTTGCTGCCTCGTTTTTAAAGTCTTTTGCTTAGGGGAAAGGGGACCTCTCTGGGTAAAGGGACATCTCTCGGGGTCTAAGTTCGTTGACTCCAGGACTTCCTTTCTGTGGCCTTGGAGGGCCACTCATCTCTCTGTGCCCTGCTACTCTGGGATCCCAGAGCACCAAGCCCCCAGTGAGCTTCAGAGCTGGGGTGGCAGCCAGGACTCACCTCTCCCAGCTGCGCAGGAGCCATCGGGCAATGGCACCCAGACTGACAGGGCCACCCCACAGTGCTCGCAGTTGGGGGTGGCTGCCGGCCAGAGACGTGGTAAGAGGTGATACGTAGATGGGGTAGCCCAGTGGCTGGTCACAGGAAGAGTTGATCATGTTGCGGAGTGCCTGCTTGGCATTCTGGATGCTGCCACGCTCAGGGTTGCGGTTGCGCAGGAACACCAGCTCCTGCTGCTGCCCAGCCCACAGCCCACGCACACACTCTCGGTTTACCTGCGGAGGACCACACCAAAGGTCAGGGCAGTGACACCAAGGAGGGCCTGAGCGGCAAGGAGGGTAAGACCACCTGCCCCACCTTAATGACACGGAAGCTGAGATGGCGCCGGTTGAGCATGATGATCTTGTACTCATCAGAAGCATCGTCCATGACATGGCGCAGTGCCAGCAGGGAGGGTGTGTTGCTGAGGATGGCACTGCGCCAGGCAGGGTCGCCCTCATGTGAGATGACCAGCCGTTCCTCATTGGCTGCAATGGCGTCATACAGGGCTGCTGGTTCCTCATACTCATCAGGAGATGTGAAGTGGTCCTGGTAGGAGAGGACAAGTCAGAGCTGCTGGCCTGGGAAATGGCTTCACCTGTCCACTCTGCCCAGGCACACTCCTCCCTACCTGGTGAAGCTTGAGGGCCATGCGAACCCCAGGTGCCACCACTCGGTGAAGCAGGTCCATATCAGCAAAGACCCACTCATCACGCGGGGAGGTGATGCGAAAGTCCCCCTTGAACAGGGCATGCAGGCCATAGAGGAAGGGCTCCAAGCTGGATAGGGAGAAGACATTAGCAACAGGGAGAGAGACAGAAGGCACTGTTCCCCATCTTGCCAAGGAAGTCAATCTCTCCCTCAGAGCAGTGAAGAGTGGGCAAGGCCATGACTGGTAAGAGTCTTGTCCGTGTGAGACAAGAGTGCACCAAGAGGCACAGACTGACAGGAATGTGCAGCTCTTCAGAGAAGGACAGAGGACTGTGGGCACTCACCTGGCAGACATGCTGTGTGAAGCTGTCCCCAGGGCCCGGCGACCCAGCACACACAGGCCAAAGCATAGTGTGACCAATGGTGAGTTCCAATCCTGGTCCACGGGCTATGGCACAAAGACCCCAGTCTGAGCACAGTTCCGTGTGGGACTGAGAACTTAGGCTTGAGTCTAGACTGTCACCAGGTGTGAAGGGAGTGACCAGGAAACCCAGGTCCTTAGTCTCGGGGGAGGGGCAGATCTGAGCAAATGGTAGCCTGACCTGGCTGCGCCTAGAAGCACAGTACTGGATCCACTCAAGGTGAACAGCGCAGAAGGATGGGAGCGAGAGGCCAGACAGGCGAAGGTCATAGTCTTCATCAACACTCAGTGAGAAGGTAGGGTCTGAGTCAGCGTAGCCAAGGGCTCTCACAGGCCGTAGGGCAGCTGTGATGCCCTCATGGTTCAGCCAGGTCTCCAGCTTTGGAGAACGGCTCACATAGTAGATGATGCTCTGGGAGAGAGGGGACAGGTGTCAGGGGTGCAACTCCACCCCAAACCCCTGCAATGGCGAGAAAGCACTCCAGCCTGAGCTACAATGCTTCCTATGATGCGGTTTCCACAGCTCAGCCCAGCTCTCTGGAGCTAAGGAAGCAAGTGACTCCTCTCCTGGGCCAAAGTCGGAGCCAGCAGCGGGCACCACTTACAGAGGCTCCCACACTTGGTAGCAGATCTGCTTGCTGTCCTCTTCCTGCCATCCCTAGAACCCAGCCCATCTGGAAGAGGATGGAGGCTCACACAGGTGAGTCTTGTCCAATGCCACTTAAAAGGGCAAACGGAGCTGGGGTGTGAAGACACTGTGTAACATCTAGGTCTCAGGACCAGAAAGGTCAGAGGCTGAGACAGTGTGCTGCCTACAGCACAGGGAACCTACATGACCTGGGTCACGGGTCCTTTTAGGCAAATTACTATAACATAAGACCTTCTCTGAAAAAGCCAGAGGCATGCACTTCGTATCAAAGTTCAGAGTATCTGGCTATTCTTAAGACACCTTGCTGGCTGGGCAAGCGGGGAGCATTTCTGGGGAAGGAGGCACTGGTAAAGCTGGGACAGCTAGCAAGCAGCAAGGTTATGGGACTCCATGTGCTGCCCTGAGCTGAAGCTGATGGAGCTGGCCATCTGACTGGTGAGTGAGGCAGAACCTCTCCCAAGGTTCATTGAAGCCCAGGCTGAGGAGGGTGGTGCAGCTGGCCATGGACAGGTGTGCTCAGGAAGTAGGGAGCTCAGCAGGTTAACTGTGGTAGGACATTGGGAGGCTGTCTTGGGCAAAATGGCCAGAGTATATGCTAGGAAGAACTACAGCTCAAGCAGCTCCCCAGGTGGAGCACACAGGGTGTGGGTATGTCCATTAGATCCCTATACAGATGTGGCCTTGGCACAAGTCGATGAGAAGAAAATCTGGTGCAGGCCCGCTGCTGACTTACACCTCACTAAAAGGAAGGAACAGGATTGAATGAGTAAGCTTTGGTCTCCAGACTGACCTTCCTGCCTACAGAGCACTGCTAAAGTCTAGGTACCACCGTAGCCCCTGAGAGAACCCCAAAAGCATTGCTTCTGGGTCAGAGAGGAGCTGGTCTGGCAAGTGTTAATGCGGTTAATTTTTAACGCTGTCACTGTGTTCTATGACATGCCTTCGGAGTGATTCTCAAGATGACACTAAAGTCCAAGACTTTTTAGTAAGAGCACCTCTGTAATAATTGGTTGTACCCAAAATGCTGCCTGGGTACATTGCACAGACCATGCATGGGCCTCAGGACCATGGTGCCTTCCTGCACTTGGCTGACTGCCTATATGAGGTCTGAAAGCTGATTCACATCACACAGGTGCCACCCTCCCAAGGTCCACTAAAGAATGCAACACAGCATGCAAAAACTAAGACCTTGAGTATGAGGCTTGGCTGCGGTGGCTGGAAGCAGTGGCTCTGTGCCCAAAGACTCTATTTTATTTGTTACCCACTATTAAGCGATGCCCACGGGAAGAGCAAAATGTGAGCAGAAGTACCTTAGCATGGCCAAAGCTGCACAGGAAGGGCAGGGTGTGGTCTGGCCCTTCTAGAAGGTCCAAACACTGCTATGGCCTGGGCTTCTAGCACAGCTGCCACCTGAGCCCTGCCTTGTCCTTACAAGCTTTACTCCTACGCCTTCATCATGTCTCCAAGCTGCTGCTACCCAGCTTCTCAGGTACCCAGGCTAAGGCAAACTGGCAACTTCAAGGGACAGTAAAGCTGACAAGGCCAAGCACACTTCAGTGGCCAGCCTATGCCTGACCAGGACCTGGTCCAGGGTACATTAGGTCTGATGTGACTCATGGGAAGCAGTGGGTACCATGACTAAAGCACTCCTCTTCACAGGTGCCAGGAAGGTAGACAGGACCTTGACAACTGAGTGATCTGGACTATTTCTGGTTTGTTTCTTAGTACAAGTGGAGAGTAAGCATAACCTTACAAATTCTTCCCTAGGAGTGGTTGGGAGAACAAGAAAGAACAACAGGAAGTACAGTTTCTCGGTTTTTCCAACACATGACACTGGAAGATGCCCACAGGGAGGCCTGGGGCAAAGGGACAGTCTGCCTTAAAGTACACCTCAGTGAGGAAAGCTCACCTAACCCCAGCAGGTGAGCAGTTTCAGGGCAGGTCTTAAGAGCATGTAGGGTCTGGCCCGTGACCACCAAGCCATCACTCTCTGGTGGTCTGAACGAGAATGGCCTGAAGAGGCGCACAGCTGTCTGGGAAGGATTAGAAGGTATGACCTTACTGGAGATAGGTTACAGGGGGTAGACTTTGAGGTCTCTAAAGTCCTGGCCATGTGGCTAAAACATAAGCTCTCAGCTGCTGCCCACTCCCTTGTTCCTGCAATAATGACACTTGCCCTCTGAAACTCTATGCTGGCCCTAATTAAAGCTTCCCTAAGTTGCCTTGGTCATGGTGTCTCCACAGCAACACAACAGTGACTAAAAGATTTCCACAGTGCCCCTCTTCTGAGTGCCACAAAACCTTATTGTTCCTTTTATCCTGCAAGCCTGCAAGTCCCTGCTTCTCAAGGGTTAAACTGAGCTAGGACAGAGGAGGCAATGTTCTAGGTTACTTGAAAATCCTCTAAGCCCCTGCCCAGAGCTCCTATACCTCACTGTCCCAGCACTCTCAACAGGTCTCAAGACCCTCTGGTCTGACTCAGAGCCTCCAGTCCAAGGGAAGCAAACCTAGCGACTGAGGTGCCAGATCTGAGCCTAGAACCTGGCTGTCACATTCTAATGCCAAAGCCCCAATCAAGCATTTCACCTCTGCAAACCATTTATGTCTATGCATGCACGTGGAGAATCTGTGTCTATGTGTGCACGTAGAGACCAAAAACTGGCATCAATTGTCTTCCTCAATTGCTCCTACCTTATTTTTGAGTCAGGGTCTCTCACTGAACCTGGAGCTTACTAAACTAATTGGCCAGCAAGCCCCAGAGATCCTTCCATATCCACCTCTTGGGTGCTGGGATTACAGGTCATGTCATTATGTCCAGTTTTCACAGGATTTGAAATAAGGTCTTCATACTTGCATGGCAAACATCTAACTAGCTGTGTTTTTTTCTTTGTTTGTTTGTTTTTGGAGAGCCTTTCATATAGTCCAGGCTGGCCTTGAATTCATTCATAGTCTTCTAGCCGCCCTACCAAATGCTTGAATTACAGCAGAAGCCAATTTCTATGAAGGGATGCAGGAGGCTTCTCCAGGTTTGTGTAGAGTCTACACAGCTCAGGTGGTGCCTAGCACAGAGCCCACCTTTAATACACAGCACTGCTCGGCTCCTATGCATACCCCATGGCCACTGTCAGCAAGCACCATCATTGTTAACCTGGGTAAGGATGCTGGTTTTATTTTATTTTGGTTTTGGTACTATGAGTTGAATCTAGGGTCTCAGGCATGCTAGGCATGTATTCTACCACACTCCTAGCCCTGAGCTGGTGATACTGAAGACATACCCTAGCCAACTGCTACAGCTAGATCCACCAGCCTGGGAGGGGATCCAGACTGAGCTGCCCTCCACACTCAGGGCCTAAAGCAAGCCTTCTGGAAGGCGCACCGGGGAGCTCTTGCTCTGGACACTTGTTCACAAGGCCTCTGTGACCTGCTGTCTGATAGCAGCACTGTGAAGAATCTTAAACTGAGTCCTCTGTTTCTCTTGACCAAAACAGGCTCCCACCACACCAGATGACAGACAGCACTCGCACACTCACAGCAGGTGAACATTCGTGTGGTCACCACCCAGCCAGCACCCACCCACAATACCTTGACATAGTAGGTGATGAGGATCTTGCGGAGATCGAACACCTGCAGCATGGAGGCCGCATTGTTGTCACTGATACTGTAGCCTTCCAGCACATACTTGCTGGCTGTCACCTCCCAGGCCAGCCAGCGCTGTCCAAAGGCAGCATTGAAGGACAGGACCCGGGGCAGGTGACCAGGCTCGCAGCAGCAGCAGCCCTCATCCTCCTCCACACCTTCGGTGATGGCCTCCACCTCACGCTGCTGGCAGTACGTGCCTGCAGACAGGACCACCCAGTCAGAGCCACGAGGATGATCCCCACTTGCCCAACATGGCACTAGACCCACTGCTGCTGTCCCTCAGCTTCTACCCTAAGACACTGAGTTACTAACTGAGCGGATTAACCGACACCCTTTCTCCTCATAATTTCAACTGTCGAGAGAAATGGGTTCAGCTGCTCCATTTCATGAGGCAAAGAACAAAATTTGTAATGTGACTTTCTCAAGGTCATGGTGCTCACATGCTGTGCTTGGAGTCTCTCTCAGTGCCCTGAAGAGACCTGTCTCAAGTTGGCACAAAACACGTATGAGCTCCTGAGAACAAGGACCCAGCTACCCAAAATGCTGGCATGGTGCTTGTCAGGGACTCAGTTAAGACCCAGAGCAGGCCTAAAGCCGGCGTAGGGCTCAGGGCCTCAGCTTTCAGCAGTAATCCTTGGACTCCCTATGAGGTCAAAGGTGGTGTGTGCAGGTGGTGGGGTGTCACTGGAAAGCAAGTGGCCAGGCTAGAAAAGCCAGGCTTAGAAAGAAAGGGAACCTTGCCTGAGATCACCCAGCAGCCTGAGAGCTTGCAAAGGGTCCCAGCCCAGGCCCTGCTTACTCTGCTCCTCACCCACCAGCTCAGCTGCACGGCTCACCCCTGAACTCAAGGCCACGCAGCTGGAAGGTGACGAGGCCATTTCCAACCTCGATAAGGTGCACCAGCGCGTTGAGGTAGTCGGAGGCCAGGACAAAGCAGTCACCAGGACCATAGTTGCCCCAGCGGCCCAGCACCAGGTCCCCACATAGGGTGTGCTGCAGTGAGCGTGTCAAGTGCTCATAGAAGATGGAGTTGAGGTTGTTGTCATCAGCGCCTGGGACCCGAAACAAACATAAAATGGGCAAAGGTATCAAGTTAAAGAGGGCACCCTCCAAGGGACACCCTGCCAGTAAGCTACTGACCTGGGTTCCGGTCCAGCTGTGTCACTAGGCGGGTGTTTGAATGGTCCACACGCTTAGTGCTGTTCAGAGAGCAACAATGTATCAGGCAGGGCCAGGCAGCCCATCAGCATGTCCTCTGCCCAGGGTCCCACCCTGGTCCTCTGAACCCACACACTGAGCTATGAGCAGATGCCACCTGTTATAGATCACTGCCATTGTCAGGTAAGGATTAAGTCTCAAACAAATAAAGGGACTCACAAAGGACCTGGAGGGGAGTGGGTTCTAAGGCAGGAAGCCTCCACTGAGGCTTTGGCCTGGTACGTGTTTAGCCTTTACCAGACTCACCTCACGTGTCCCCACTGAGGCCCAGCATTCACACCCTTGCTGTGGGTTTCGGAGTCCCTTTCTGGGTGGTGCCTGGCCAGGACTCCAAGGCCTCACCTCCTTGTTAGCCACAAGTCCTATCTCCCATGAGACTTACTTGTAGTCCCTCTCCCAGAACTTGAGGGGCCTTGCGTAGGACATGATGAAGACAGCACTGCCCAGCAGGGGGTTGAGTGGGGTAGAGAAGAGCCCTGAAAGCAGGGCCTGGAGGAACAGCATGGCCGAGTCTGAGCACAAGTCAAGGAGGTGACAGGCACCTTCTGCCTCCCTTTCCTCCCTCTGCAACCCAAGGCTGCTTCTCTCCACATACATCCCACCCACAAAGAAAGAGCAGGAAGCTGGATACGTGGTACAGCAAACGGCTGGGCAAAGGCATGGAAGGCTGAGCCCCAGGTGATCTGCCAGGGTGCAATGTAGGTCAGCACAAAACGCAGCTTGTACAGCAGGTCCCACAGCTGTAGGTCATCAAGACAGAGGTGATAAAACACACAAAGTGGCAATATCTGCCAAGCCTCCAGACACCAGCCCGATGGAATGAACTTCAAGATAATCCCAGCCCTTTCTTTCTGGACTTGGTTTGGAACACCTGAAGCCATGGGAACTTTTAACTGGTTCTAAAGAACATGCACTAGTTAATTCCCACAATGGCAGTGTGAGCGTCGTATTCCTTTCCCAGGTTCACAGATGGGGACGATCCAGTTCAGATAAAGGGAGAGAAGGTAAACGACTTTCTCAGGTCATGTCACTCAGTCACTAATGAGAATTTCAGGAGAAATTTCAAGAGAGATGACCCTAGACCCTACCCTCAGAGGGGTCTGAGTCAGCCTGGTGGACCAGGTTTCTAATAATTCCACATATTTAAAAGGATCACAAGTTTGAAGGCAGCCTGGGCTATAGAGTGAGTTCAGGTAAGCCTATGTAACTCAGTAAGATTCTATCTCAAGAAGTCAAGAGGGCTAATGGGACAGCTCAGTAGTAGAACACCTACCTAGCACAATCAAAGCTCTGAATTCAAATTCAAGCAAATAAATAAAAGCAGGAGGAGACCTAGTACGGAAGCTTGCCAGCAAACAAAAATCAAATATGAGAAAACTATCAGGAGCCAATTGCGAGTCCCAGTACCATGGTAGATGGTAGGCACTCGGGATGATGGGCAGAGTGATCCTTTGATCAATGTGACCCCCAAGCCTGAGTAGGGAACCCACGGCCCAAGAGAATAGCTATACACCCAGTCCCTAGAATATATACTCTCAGCTCTGAACTGGGCTCTGGTGGGGGCTGGTAGAGGGCAGACCTCAGAGGCTTTACAACATCCTGGTGACAAGGTCAGGTCTTGACATTGCTGATCCTGAGGAAGCTTGCTGTAGCTCAACACTAGCCACCAATTCTCATGAGGGCCTGATGCAAGTTCCCCTCAAGCCTCAACATGCTTTCTGCAGGGAGAGGTGGAGGAATCCCCTCCTCAGGCCACTGCAAAGGCACACAACTGAAGCAATGCGTGACAGCAGACCAGGGCACACTCCCTCTCTCAACAGCTCTGCTCTGTATGTGTCAACCTGGAGTCCAAGTCAAAGCCATCAGCTTACCTTGCTGCAGAGCAGGGACATGAGGAAGTAGTCGAGCAGAAAGCCCTGCGAGAGCCGAGGGTAGTCAAAGTGGAAGAGCAGGACGGTGAAGGCCAAGGTCAGGTACTGCTGGGGTGGGCAACAGAAGGCTGAGCGGAGCAGCTTCAGCCCAGCCACAGTCATCAGCAATGCCCGGCAGCTGTGGGTGGGGCAGGCATTCAGACATGGCAGGGCCTTATGGAGGAGTGGGCACAGACACATGTCTCTCACCAATAGGTCTGAATGCAACCCTAGGCACCTGCTGTTGACTAGAATAGCACCCCCTTTTCTGTGCCAATGATTCTTAGGTTCAGTATCTTGGAATGATACGATAGGAGACACATTTGCTCCAAATGATAGCTCATTATCACCCAGGATCCTGCCAGGCAGTGGTGGTGCACACCTTTAATCCCAACACTCGGGAGGCAGAGGCAGGGGGATCTCTGTGAGTTCAAGGCTAGCCTGGTCTATTGAGCTAGTTCCAGGACAAGTTCCAAAGCTACAGAGAAACCCTGACTCGAAAAACAAAAAACAAAAAACAAAACAAAAGAGCTGGGATCCTACTTTGCCTTGCTTAGTTGTTACCCATTCCTCAGTGGGAATCGATGAGGAAGGAGACAGAATGAGAGAGGGGAGTGAGTGGTCCTCACTAGAGGCAGAATTTGTCTGGATGGCTGACAACCGTGTGAGCATCCACTGTGAGCGCGTTGAGAACCACAGCAGGGTAGATGAGGTACTTCTCAACACACTGTAGGCCAGCATAGAGCTTCTCAAACCACATCACCTGGGCAGCACCTGCAACAGGAAGGCAGGGATGTCTGCTAGCACTTGGTCCTCCACATGGCCCATACTCTGGAGCCCAGAGGATGATCCACCACAGGGCCATAAGCACCCTGAAAGGTAGGCAGACCAGCTGTGCTGTCCTGGGCTCCTGGAGAGTCTGCCTAGTGGGGATTGGAATACTGTTGACAGCCCTGAATGAGGATGAAGAGCCCAGCAGGGCAGGGGCTCCACACACCACTTAGCATGTCACAGGCTGGGGGCTGGGGGGATTTGCTCTGTTTTTGTAGTCTGTGGAAACAAACCAGACAAAAACAACAACCACTAACTAACAAACAAACAAATACCTCTTAGAGACCCACCAGAGATATGCAAAGGTTATATAGAATAGGCTGAGGGCTGAGGGGGTCATGATGACCCCAAGCGGCATGACCTTCTGAGGGGCAAGCTTTCTTGGTTTAAGCTAATGAGAAGAAGACAAATGGGGATGTTGTCCTAGGAGCAAAATTTCCCATTGTTTGAGATAAAACGAGCGCTACATATAAATAACATTATATGAACTGAGCAGGCTGTATGTGTAACAACAATTAAAGAAAATAGACCATGAAGCCGGGCGGTGGTGGCGCACGCCTTTAATCCCAGCACTTGGGAGGCAGAGGCAGGCGGATCTCTGTGAGTTTGAGGCCAATCTGATCTACAAGAGCTAGTTCCAGGACAGTCTCCAAAGCTACAGAGAAACCCTGTCTTGAAAAAACAAAAACAAACAAAAAAAAGACCATGAATTAGCAGGAGGAAGGGCACAAGGGAGGAGTTGGAAGGAGGAGGGGTAACCTGATGAGTTCAAGTCCCAGGAGCACATGGTAAGAGGGAACCAACCCTGAAGCCCCGAAGACTGTTTGCTGACCGCCACATGTGCACAGTGTGTTCATACATACACAAAATCCTGTTCATAAAGCAGTAAGTAATGTGACCTTTGTATAGCCAATCAAGAGTCTTTTTTAAAAATCTATATGTATGGATATTTTGCCTACATGAATGTCTCTGCACCATGTGTGTTCAGTGCCTTTGGAAGCCAGGAGGTCATCAGACCTCCTGGAAGTGGAGGAACAACAGATTAAGAGCCAACACCTGGGTGCTGGCAATTGAACCCAGGTCCTTGGAAAGAGCAGCCAGTGCTCTAACTGCTGAACCACCTCTCCAGCCCCACTAACCAAGATGTTTAAGTAGAGGCTAGAGGAGCTTTTTGTTCTGAGACGGGGACTTACTATGGACCCTAGCTGGCCTGGAGCTGTCTCTGTAGATCAGGCTGGCCTCAAACTCACAGAGATCCACCTGCCTCTGCCTCCTGAGTGCTGGGATTGAAGTTGTGGGTCATATAAAACATTTTAAAATACAGCCTGGAAGACTTTTGAAAAAATATTGCCAGCAACAAATACTAGATGGCTCTGAGCCACAGGTGGCAAGTCAGGCTATGAAAACCCTTTTTAAAAGCTGGGATTCCTTTTCCATTAGAATGGAAGCAGAAAGGCAGGACAAAGGCAGTGTACAGGCTAAGAGTATAGAAGAGGCAGGCAGTGGTGGCGCACGCCTTTAATCCCAGCACTTGGGAGGCAGAGGCAGGCAGATCTCTGTGAGTTCGAGGCCAGCCTGGTCTACAAGAGTGAGTTCCAGGACTGGCTCCATAGTTACAGAGAAACCCTGTCTAGAAAAACCAAAAAAAGTATAGAAGAAACTGTACCAGGACAGTGAAAGGCACAGATAGACACAGAGAGTCAGAAAGCAGTATGGGTACCAGGTGCCCTCTGCTGACACCCTCAGCCAAGAGGACCATACTTCTCATTACTATGTCTATGTCTCCAACCTGACTCTGCCCAGCCCAGGCAATGGGGATGAAGAGGGCAGGAGGCACTCACCTCGCACTTCGTACTGGCTGTATTCCAGTGGCTTCAGCACAGGCTGGGAGAGGCAGAACCAGGGCAGCTGTTTGCGGAGCTGTGGCAGCAGGTAGTGTGTGAAGAAGCCCACAGCTCCTGCCAGTGCATACAACACGAAGCCCAGCACTGACTGTAGGAGAGAGGCCAGAGGCTCAATTCAGTCTGAGGTGGGCTCCAGAGGGCCCTTAGGTCCAGCAGACTCTTATCAGATCCTAGAGGGGGATGACTTTTACCACACAAACCTTCAGGGCAATGAAGACAGTGCTGGCACTGATGGCAAAGGTGAGCACAGCGATCACCACACACATCACCAGGTCGGAGTGCAGGACCTCACGCTGCAGGGCCAGGAAAAACAGTTTGACTGCCTGCCCTATAGGCACGCCCTTCCCAGGGCCAGAGCAGCCAGAATCCCACATCCCTCACCACAGACTGGCGCATCTTCTCTGGCAGTGGGTCTGGGGGCTCCACCCGGGCTGTCTCAAGGCTCCGCTCCTCTAGCTCAGGGAAGAGCTTACTCCGGACTAAAGACCTGGAGGGAAGACGAGTCAGAGACCAAGGCAGGGCAGTCCCTTCCTTACACAGATTCTGTCAGTCCCAGGCACATGCACTGACCGCCTAAGTTCCAGGCATGCACATACACACACTCAGAGTACACATGTATGCACATAAATAGGCACATGCAGCACCCACCAGAGCACAGTGGGGTCACTGCTCTGCCGGCTCAGATGGTAGGACAGTGCCACCAGGAGGCCACAGAAGACTGAAAAGAGGACAGGGACGTGCTGCTCCGGCCAAGGTGTCTAAAGGAGAGAACCCATGCTGGTCAGGGGTGGTGAAGGTAAGTGTGGGAGAGACAGTGGGTGTCCCACATGAGAAGCCACTGCTGAACCCAATTCACAGCCCTGTCCCAACAACCCCATAGGGCTCAGCAAGCCCAGATCCTGTAGGCCACCACTACCTTAATGGCCCCGAGGCAGAAGCCATAAAGCAGGGCAGCAGCCAGCAGGCTTCGGGTGAGGCTGAAGACCGCAGTGAGTGGGCTGGTAGCAGCTGTGAGCAGGGAGAAGTAGGTAAAAACCCAGCTCTGCACTACGGGCATCTCCAACTCAACCATGTCCCACTGATCCTCAACTGCCACAAGAAGATCTCCCTCCCCAAAGTACCCCTCAGAGTTTCTAGTGTTCTGGGCTGAAACCACTTGCCTGGGGAAAGGAGAGGAAAGAGGAGAGGGGGGAAAAAAAGAAAGAGAGGAAGGGAGGACAGGGCCCTTGAAGCCAGAATAGAGAACGCAGGGGAGGCTCTATAAGAGCTAGAGCTATAGGCCCAATCTGTGGACCCTCCTAGCCTCACATTGTCCCCTGCCACCTAAGCCACCCGTGAGCACAATACCTGTGCCTCCAAAGCCATGCATATCTATCTGCTCCAGGAGGTACATGAGGCAGGTGTTGACCTGGGGCAGGAGGCCCAGGAGGAAGACGAACGGGAAGCACAAGGTGAACACTGTTCAGAGGGTGAGTGAAGTCCAGTCAGTCTGCCAGCCTCCCAGGGCCCACCCTCCAGACTCACTCCCTTGGGCCAACCCCGCCCTGCCCCGCCTCACCAGTGGCCACGTCTCGGGCACAGAAGAAGAAGGAGGCAGAGAAGAGCGTGAGGCCATACAGGGAGACTGGTGGGAAGGGCTGAGCTGTGCCCAGGGCGTCCAACAGCCAGATGAGGAGACAGCAGATGCAGAAGTAGACAGGCCGGCTGTATGCAATCACCCAGTTGTGGCCCTAGGGAATGGGCCAGTGAGGAACTGGGCATCCCCGCTGACCACCCTGCTGGTATGTGCACACAGTCAACACACCCCAGACTTGGCCACATCCAAGCTAGAAAACTGGGGAAGCTGGGAGCAAAGCGGTGATCAGGGAACTCTGCCCCTCTCCCGCCATGGCCTTGCATCTGGTCTCAGACCCTCCAAGGGCCTCCTGGCCAGAGCACTGCCCCACAGGTACTCACATGCATGGGAGATGCTGCGTCAGGCTGCACACTCTGGAAGAGAGACACGGTTATGTTGGCAACAAGAACTGGTGCCCACCGAAGAACGAAAGCACTAAGACTGACCAGCTCTACCACCGGGCAGTAGTAAGTGGCCAAGGCAAGACCCTGTACTGTGCTAAGTCTTAGTGTCTGTACTTGTCAGACGGGTAGCTGGCTACTGGGACCTTAACCAGATTATCTATACCTCCCCTCAGACCTGGAAAAGGGAAAGGGTTGGCCCAAGAAAGCTGCGGACTCAGGGAGCCAGGCCTGACCTTGAGCAGGGAGTACTGACAGGAGGCGATGACCAGGCAGAACTGGAAGACCCAGATGTCAGTGAAGAAGCCCTTGAGCAGCAACAGGTATCCCAGGAAGGCCACCAGGCTGCTCAGTCCAACGCCAAAAATGTTCTCCATGATTCCCCTTGTCCTACAAAGACATGTTGAGTCAGGGCACGCATTCCCACCCCAGTTTCTAAGAAGTAGGGGAGACAGGACTCTGTCCTAAAGATCCACCTCTGGGCATCTGAAAAGCCAAACTTCTGACCTCACAGGAAGAGATCAGGTTGCATTTGCTCTGAAAAACCATCTTGCTGGGTCACTGGCTACGTCCACTTCCTGCTCATGCTGACATGAGCTACAGTGTGTGCACAGCACGATGCCATGATGTGGACATGGGCAGCACCCTACCTGTACCCAATGACAGGAGGGGAACAAGGATGACAGACAGGAAGCCAGGCCCAACTCCTTGATGGCAAACAAAAGTCATCTGACTTCTTTATCTGACTTTCTGGCTTTTGTTTCTCCTCTGAAAACAGGAAACTTTTTTTAAAAAATTAATTTTAAAAGTTTATTTATTTATACTATATATGAGTGTCCTGCAATGTAAACCTGCAGGCCAGAAGAGAGCATCAAATCCTATTACAGATGTTTATGAGCCACCATGTGGTTGCTGGGAATTGAACTCAGGACCTCTGGAAGAACAGTCAGTACTCTAAACCACCAAGCCATCTCTCCAGCCCCCAGGAAAGGTTTTGAGATAACCACGTTTATGAACCTATTTAGGTTACAGCACTCAGGCAAACAGAACAGAAGGAAGGAAAGCGAACGCAGTAAGGAACCACTCATGTTGAGAAAGGCTTGAAAAGAAGGGTAACCCTGTATGGACCCAACCCCTTTGTACTCCACAGGAGCCCAAAGAAAGCCACTGCAGCCTGGCGGTGATTCAGGGCTCTGGTTCTACAAGTTTCAAAGCTGAGGCAGAAGGATCACTGGAGGTCTAGACCAGCCTGGATTACAGAGTGAATTTTGGGCCAGTCTAGGTTACAAACAAGACCTTGTCTCAAAAACAAATCAAGCCAGGTACAGTACAGCACACCTGTAACCTCAGCACAGGAGAGGTGGAAACAAGATGACCACAAGTTCAAGGCTAGCCTCAGCTACATAGCAAATTTGAACTTAGCCTGGTTTATGAGACCCTTTCTCAAAAACCAAAAACAACAACAACAAAAATCCAATGCAGCCTCCAGCAACTGAGCCTTTCAGGACCTCTGACAGCATGACCATCTCCATAGGTCAGAGTCTGGAGACCAGAGTCCCAGAGTTTTCTGGGGAGTAGTAAATAATAATTGCAGGTACTCACCGGTCCAACAGAGCCAGCAGGGCCAGACGCTCATAGCGCACAGAGGTCCAACGGCCAGGAAGAAACCAGTACTTATAGCTGTGCTGGGCCCGGGGCGGCGCCTCCTCCATCAGTGTCTGCTCCTGGGATTCGTGCAGGGAGTCCTGGTCCAGCAGGTCAAACTGCAGTCCCCACAGCCGCGGCCATCAGCCCCGCCACCCCCATGATCTATCATCATCCCTCCCCCAACACACTGGTAAGAGACTGAGCATGTACACCAAGGTCACATTGTCTAGTGGCCCTGTGGCCTGCTCAGACTCAATCAGAAGGGCTTGCTCCTAGTTCTAGGTTCCTAGGACACAGCTGATGCTGCTATGGACTGCCAGGTGCCAGAGTCACCAAGTCTTATGTCCATGTTCCCCACTCAGGCAAAATCTCTACTTTGACCCTCAGGACCTAGCATACATGATATCTCCTTCAACATGGGGCCACCACTGTCACTGTGACAACCGCATTCAGGAGCATACAACACCTGGTTCTGAAGACAAGCTAGAGCTGAGTGTCCCAGAGAAGCACTTAGCTTCTTTAGGCTGGGTTCATTCAACAAGTGTTTATGGCTTGTTGAGATGGTTCAGAGGGTAGCTGCCACACAAGCCCGATAGCCTGGAGTTCAATCCCTGAACACCATGTAGATAGAGAAAACTGACTCTCTCACACATACTGTAATATACCTGTATGTGTGTACATACACACAAACACACACACCCGGCAGAGAGAGAGGGGTATGCACATGCAACATCTGCAGGACACAACAGAGAGCCCAACGCTGCACAGCTCTGTCCCATAAATGACAGCTACACGGACAGCAAGGATGATGCTGTAGACTATACAGAAACAGTTACATAAAATAACTGAGTCAAGAAAAGGTAGCCTAGTCTGGCAGCAATGACCTATAATCCTAGGTACTTGGGAAGCTGTGGCAGGAGAATTCCAAATTCAAGGCCTACCTGTGCTACAAAGTGAGGTTAATAATAAAAAAAAAAAGAGGATGCTGGGAGAATAGCCTGGTGATAGATGTTTGCCCAGCATTCAATCCCCATTATCTCACACATTAAAAACACACACACAAACTAGCGCATGGTGGATTCTGGCAGTATTCAAGGTCCATCTGTGATTTTAGGTGTTAGATATTTTGAGTTAATCCTTTTAGGACTATTCTCTGAACTCTGAGAACATAGTTGGGTGTTGTTGTGAGGATCCCACTATGTTGTCAGGGCTCATGTAGAAGCCGCAGCCTCTGGAGAAGCTGGGACAATAGGTGCGGTCATGTTTTATGCATTCTTATTTCTGTTACTACCGGAATAATTGTGTAAGTGATAATCTATTAGAAGTAAAAAAAAGGACACTATCAATAACCATGCCGTGATAAGGCACATTAACAGGTGACTTCAGGCAATCACACCTGTAAACTGCCAGGCACAGGACAAACTGAACTGCCATTTCTACAAGTATCTTTGTAAACATTCATTATCCTGCTAGCTGCTCCTGCTCCTGCTTCGGGACCAGAGAGGTACACACCAGATACATTCAGAGAGTAAACAGGGGACTTCAGGAGCCATTCAGCTCCAAGCCTGTGCAACCTCTGCCAGCCATTAAAGATGGGGACACACGCTCTTCCTGAGGGTGATCTATCCCTCCCGGGGTGCCAGGGCAATCTACCCAGGCCACCCTTAGTCTTCTGCTTACATGCACCTTGTCCCATTCCCTCCACACCTCTCAAAGCTGCTGCTCACCTCTGGGATCTCCAGGGGCACCCTGCGCACCTGCATACCCTGAAGAACCACCGGCCTGGGCTGCAACAGGTTCAGGCCTCCTGTGGCTTCAGGCACATCAGCTGAGTGGAAGCTGGAGGAATGTGAGTGGCGGTCCCTGTGGGTACAGCAGCAATGAGGCTCAAGGCTATGGACAAACCCTGGGACCTGGTGAGATGAAAATCAAGGCCAGGCAGAGGGGCTGTTTGCCCCATGACTGGAATGTCCACAGGTCAAGAACACTGGGGTCACAAGGGAGAGAGCAGAAGCGTCTCTTTTGCAGGCCCTGTTCTACATATGAAAGCTGTGTTTCCTCTGCCCTCCTCCCCGGGAAGCCAGTACTATGCTTCCTAGACTTGGAAGCCTGGCATCATGCCCCAGTGTCCTTATCACCTTCCCCTCCTAGCCTGTGCTGTCCCATCACAGCAAGAACACCGGGTTCAGGTGCTCCCCAGAAATGCAGCCTACCAGGCCCACGGAAGCCCAGCCTGGACACTCACCAGGCTCCATTGGCTGCCTGATCCCCTGGCTGCCCCACAGGGTTCTCATAGCCACCTCCAGCTAGGCCAAAGGTGTATGACCGCCGCACACCTGAGACAGAAGAACAATAGCACTGTCAAGGACTGATCTAACAGGGCATCAGGGACAACAAACGAGGAGGAGCCCTGTGATGTGTCCCCTGCCATGACAGCCCAGCCCTGGGGACCAAGTGTTAGACAGGAAGGGGCCTAAAGATCAAAAGCCTGGGCCCTGTGGTCAGCCTGCCTTGGATACGGCTCTGTTCTACCACTAGCTCAGCCTGTAGCTTCAGGTGTGCCTTGGTTTCCTCATCAGCAGAGCAGGGATGATGACACCCACACCTCAGAGATGCTGCAAGGATGACATCAGGCAGCACAGGTAAAGCACTTGCCACAGAGCCAGGTGAGACATCATCGGCCAACAGTGCTGTTGGCAAGGGGCAGCCACAGACGCGTGGGAGGCACAGAGGACGTGCGAGGCTGTCTGGGGAAGGACTCACCGCTCTCGTCGTAGAAGTAGTGCACAGCACCCTCAGAGGTGTCATCAAAATTGCTGGCTTCGTGGACGTTGGGGCCAGCTCGGGTGAGCAGCAGAGAAGAAGCGAAGTGCAGAGCAGAAGGCAGAGTCAGTGCCCGGGAGTGGGAAGCAGCCCGGCCCCGCTGAGCCTCCTGCAGGCTGCTGGACAGCAGAAGCCCTAAGTTAGCACCAGGAGGAGTCAGATGGCCCCTCTGCCCTGCAGCCAGGGGGCAGATGCTCACCTGGGTGGAGAGCCCATGACAGAGGCTGGAGGGGTAGGGTTACTGCCTGCATTGTGTCGTCTCCGGATAGCCTGAGCCCGCCTCACGTTGCTTGTGCATTCCCGCTGACCTGTGTCCTCAGGTGCTGCCCAGAAAGAAGCCCCAAACATTAAGTGACAGGTGCTCCAGCACTGAGCTAAAGGTTAGCCCTAGTACACTTGGTCTTAGGAACCCTGTCAGGGCATCTTAGTCAGCCACGCCTCAGTTTTCTCATCTGGAGATAAGGATGACAATGATCTTCCCTGTCCCACAGGTGGGCAGACGGATGAGTGTGGAAGATGATGTCCTTAGGAAACAGACACTCAGGTGCTCACCACTGGAGCCAGGCAATTGGGCTCTGCTGACCCAAGAGGTGTAGCCCACCATTCTTAACCACTAAATCCACATCCATCTGCCTCCCAACATGGAGGCTAAGCTGATGTTGCCTAGGTCAGCTACAGCCTGCCCTTTACCCAAACTCAACCCTCCCAGGTCTCCTCCCTCACCCTCACCCCTGGGGCCATCACTCACCTCCCCCCACAGCACCTTCCTCCTGCAGCTCCCCCCGCCAGCCAGGCTGGTTGGCAGCAGGTCCCCTGCGGGCTTCAGCAGGCAGCACAGCAGGCTCACCAGCAGCCAGCTCCACTCCTGGCTGGGCCTCCAGCTCAGCCTTGGAGCCAGCCAGGGGAGCCCTTAAGACATCAGTCCCTGCCCCATCCATGCTTAGCACACGTGCGTGAGTTTTGGCACTGGCAGTACTGGGAGTCCGCTGGGTCCCATATGGTCTCTTAGGGGGCACAGCAGTTCCCTCTTCAGCCCCAGGAGGAGCCCGCCGCTTCCGAGGACCCCCTGCTGCACCCCGGGAGCTCTCAGGGGAGTAGCAAGAAGTAGATGATGAGCTGTCAGTACTGTAGCGGCGCTGAGACCGGAGACTGGATGCTGGACTCAGCTCACTACCTTCGCTGGTGTCTTCATCTTCAAAAAACCCTGAGCCCTCCAGCAATGGCCGTCTCGGGGCACGGCCAGGTGGCGAGTGTCCTCGCATGGGGGGGCGCCGTTTGTTAGGTCGAAGTAGGGCCAAGTCCTTAGGCCGCACAACCAGAAGCGGCTCAGTTTGGCTTGGTGGTGTCCCTGCTCCAATGACTGTGTCAAAGGAACGAAGTGTATCATCTGAGGGGACCCCAGCATCTGGGGAGGCAGGCAGCTCAGCCTCTGAGGGAGGGTCTGTGTCGCTGCCCTCAGGGGCATGCCCACCAGGGGGGCTGTCCAAGTGCGTAGAGTTGGTTTTCTCGCTCTTGAAGCTGCTCAGAGTCTCCCTGTCAGTGCCGCTGAAACAGGAATCTGAAGAGCCAGCTTTCTGGGGCGTGGGGTCACCTGAGCCCCTCCGGTCCAGGGGCTGGTAGCCTCCAGTTCCTCGACATTGTTCCCGTCGACTGCTGGTCCTCACTAGGGCCCGGTCAGGCCGTGTCAGGGTCAGGAAGCTCTTGCTTAGCTCCTGGCTGAGGCTCCCCTTCAGTAAGGGGCTCATGGGCGTGTCAGCCACACTGCTCCCACCCCAGGGAACACCATCTCCAGCCAGGGGAGAACGCTCAGAGGAGTCCGTACTGGGGAGAGAGGGGTCTGGGACAACCCCTGGGGGTGTCTGGGGAAGGTCTCCAACTGTCAGAAGAAAGGAAGATGGAATGAGAGAAGGGGGCGTGGCAAAGGCAACTAGAGGTTAAGGGAATCTCATGCCCTGTTTTTCTGAGGGGAAGACCAGGAGAGGGACACCAAGGGGATGCCATTCAGGAGTACAAAGCAGGTACAAGCACAAGCTATCTGGTACTCCTGCCAGACCCCTCCCTACCATGCCCACTCACTCAGTTTCTCCTGAGAGCTGAGCTTCAGCATCTCTCGATCGGCCGAGGTCACAATCACGTTGTTGCTGCCCTGCTCCCGGACCAGTTCCTTGATGTCTACAACCACAGCACAATAGATGTCACCAGGACCCTGGGGTCCTCTTAGGTCCTCCTGTCCCACACCACCATGATCCAGCCCAGAACAATAGCCACCTACCTCTGAGGGGCCCAGAATCCTCCATCCGGGGCAGCAGTTCCTGATAAGAAAGTGGAGAGAGCACGGATGAAAAACAGAGTAAGCAGGCTTGGAACCGAACCACGACAGGGACTGGCTCCCCGGAGAGCAGGGACAGAAGCCCAAGGCTGGGCCTACGCACCGAAACCTGGTTGAAGCCAAACACAGAATGCTGGGAACTGCAGCGCACAGGGGGTGTGGAGCTCACTTTCCGGAACACTGTCATCTCCACACCAGGGTCCCTGCAACAGAGGGAAGAGTGGAGCCTAAGTTCTCAGCTAATCTCTCTCCACCCTTTCTCACCATCCTTAACGCTCCTTCCTCCTCAAGGCCCCCTTTGACAGCTCTAAGACTGACAGCAACAAGTGTTCGGAGCCAGTATTCCCTCTGCCCTCTCTAACTTCCAAGACACAGGCACAGAGAAACAGCAATTACTGGGGTAGCCGATGCCCTACCCACCTGCGAAGACTGCTGTCCCCCTGGGCAGCCTCTTCTTCCTGCTCCCCCATGGTAGAATTGCGTTTCTCCACAATCTCGCCCTGGTCGAACATGGCGTGCAGGCGATAGTTCACAGTCTTGATGGTAGCAAAGATGACAGCTACCACCAGGCAGTATACTCCAGCCACCATCAAGCTGGGGGGCAGGACCTGGAGGTGACAGGTAAGTTCGGTCCCTTCTCACAGAAGCCCTGCTCCCTTGAGGTGGCACCTGCAACCACTGTCATGACTAAGATTCCTCGGATCACAAAACTTCTCACCCTTACACGCAACAGTTCAAAGATCCCGTAAAGAAGCAGTTTTCTGATTAACCGGAGAAACAGATTAAATGAGGCGCTCAAGGTAACCCCACGCAGGAAAGACTTGATCTTCCCCCTACACACGCCCAAACTCTCCAGTGACAGTCTTACTCTAAGACCCCAGGGCTCGAGACGTCGTGCCCGCCCTGCCCAGCTGCCCTCCCTCCCCCAGTAGTTACAGGTGGTGGCCGGCTCTCACCATGTACAGCAGGAAGGGAAAGATGAGCAAGAAGATCCAGACATAGAGATGGAAGCAGTTGGAGAAGGTGCTCTGATGCGGATCGAAAAACCAACCGCCGGTGAGCGAGGCCCACACCCCCTGGCGCAGGATCTGCAACACCTGAGACCCCATGGCCCAGCCGCTGCTGCGCAGGCCCTCCTCCCGGGACCCTCATGAGGGCGACCCCCGGCCCATGCCCCGCCTGACGCCCGAGGGTCCCGGGGTTTGACCGAGAGCTCACGCCATGGCCTCCCCCAGCGGGGGAGGGGACTGGTGGGGCGAGGGCACGGGCAGGGGGCGGGGCCGGCCGGGGAAGTCAGCCGGCTCAGGCCGGGATCCAGGGGTGGGGCTGCATCAGAAGCGGGGCCTGGGCCCCCTCCAGAGGCCCAGAACTGTGGTGAGGGGCAGAGCTGGGAGGCAGACGCAGGGCACGGGCTGGGCACCCGTCGGCGGCATCCAGAGGTGGGCGTGGAGTGGGTGCTCTCGGAGTGCTGGTGATGGCTCCCTTGGCTCCGAACCCGGGAATGCCTTGGGACCCTGAGGTCCACTTCCGGGGTCGCAGGTCACTCTCTTGGGGTTCTGCGTTCGCCCCGCTTCTACCGGTGCCGGTGCAAAGGGGAGGCCGGAAGAAGGAGCCGCGAGCTGCCAGCCTGCATTGGCGCATGCGCCCGTTAGAACCAGTCGGGACCCGGAAAAGGAAAAACCTGGCGGCAAAAGTGCGCAAGCGCAGAGAAGGAGCTCACGGAGTGGACGCAGAGGTGTTTCAGGCGTCGGCGCAGTCTGAATCCAGAGCCCAAAACTGGGAAGCGGCTCGGCGCATGCGCGCACCCGAGCGGCTCGTCATTGGGTAACGGCGGAATGATTGGCGCAAAGCTTTTCTAAAGCGTGACAGGAGGCGGAGGAGAGCTGGAGCTGGGACTCCGCACGGCTACTTCCAGTTTACGTTACCGGGTCACGCCCCCAACCTGTGCCGGCCCACTTAGTGCTAGACTGTAAGTCGTGGTCGTCGCTGGGCTTACGCCCCTCTACTTCCGGGTCAGAGCTCAGATGGAGCCAAGAGGGAATCCTGACCAGGCCTGAGTAGTCGAACAGGATAGCATAGTTTTTCTTAAAGTGACAGATACAAGGCAAGTGAGTTGAACCAAGGAAGAGGTTGTTGAAGGCTCTTCTACTCTGAATTCAATTCCGGGCAGAGTGCTGAACAACAGCTTCAGGTTTCTGCCTGTTTGGGGAAGAACAAGAAAAAGCGAATTGTCTCTCGGGTGAAAGGAAGGGAATTTTAAATGGTTCCACGAGTTTGACGTGTAGCTAATTCTGAAGGTCCAATCTTCTCTATGCCTATCCCTTCTAGCGCTGCAAAGCAAGGTATCTTGTTATTTTATATATGAAAAGAACGAAGCTTAAAGAGCCCTGCAACTTCATAGCCAAGGCCATACTCAGATTTGGGGCAATCGCAAGCGCGATTTTGCTAATGAGAACTCAGACCCAAGGACTGTTGTCTGACTTCGCAGAGATCCCCCTCGACCCTGAGCAGCGGAACACCTAACCTAAGGCTTTTCCTTAGAGTTGTGATGGTGTGTGGGTGTGGGAGGGAGGCGCTCGGGAATACCTTGCCCGCCTTCTGCCTCTCTTGGCCAATCTCTCCGGGAACTCCCGGTCCCAGCCGCCGCCGGGAGCCTCCGGGAGGGGAGCGGTGCAACCCGCCCGCGTCATCTGATGCTGTTTCCTGCAGGAGGGAGAAGAGCGGAAAAAAGTGAAACTCCTCCCTCCACCTCTGCCTCCCGCCCCCGGGGCCAAAGTACAAAGGGAGGAGGAAGAAGGGAACGGGGTCCGAGCTGTTGGGGCCAAAGGCACTAGCCCGAGAAGAGGTAGCTTCAGCTCAATTGGGGACTTTTCTCTTCACCTCTTGTGCCTGAAGACGCAACCGGAGTCCAGGCGCTGACCCTGGCAGGCCCCACCTTACAGTAGGCGGGCGCTGGAGCCAGGTTCCCAGGACTACTTCGGGACTGAAGGACTCTCTGCCGCTCTAATTCAGCCATGGTGAGGCGCCGGAGGCCAGGGGGCCCCACCCCTCCAGCCTGACCACACTGCCCTCGGTGCCCTCCTTCAGAAGCCCGAGATGCGGGGGGCCGGGAGGCGACACTCCTGGCTCCCCAGAGAGGCGTGGGTCTGGGGCTGAGGGCCAGGGCCCGTATGCCCAAGTTCCGGCACTAGGGCCTCTGAAGCCGGCGGGGGTGGAGACCACGGGCACTCGAAGAAAGTCCCCCATACATTCCAACGCTGGCTCCCAGCCATGGAGCCCTTGAAGAACCTCTTCCTCAAGAGCCCGCTGGGGTCATGGAATGGCAATGGCAGTGGGGGCGGCGGAGGTAGTGGTGGAGTCCGGCCAGAGGGGTCCCCGAAGGCAGCAGCAGCTTATGCCAACCCTGTTTGGACAGCCCTGTTCGACTATGAGCCCAATGGGCAGGACGAGCTGGCCCTGAGGAAGGGCGACCGTGTGGAGGTGCTGTCCCGGGATGCAGCCATCTCGGGAGATGAGGGCTGGTGGGCGGGCCAGGTGGGTGGCCAGGTGGGCATCTTTCCATCCAACTATGTGTCTCGGGGTGGAGGCCCACCCCCTTGTGAGGTGGCCAGCTTCCAGGAGCTGCGACTGGAAGAGGTGATCGGCATCGGTGGCTTCGGCAAGGTCTACCGTGGCAGCTGGCGAGGGGAGCTGGTGGCTGTGAAAGCTGCTCGCCAGGATCCCGATGAGGACATCAGTGTAACCGCTGAGAGTGTTCGACAGGAGGCCCGGCTCTTTGCCATGCTGGCACATCCCAACATCATTGCCCTGAAAGCTGTGTGCCTGGAGGAGCCCAACCTCTGCCTAGTGATGGAGTACGCAGCTGGTGGGCCTCTCAGCCGTGCCCTGGCTGGTCGGCGAGTTCCCCCCCACGTGCTGGTCAACTGGGCTGTGCAGATCGCCCGTGGGATGCACTACCTGCACTGTGAGGCTCTGGTGCCCGTGATCCACCGAGACCTGAAGTCCAACAACAGTGAGTTTCAAGGGGCATGAAATGGGAATGGGGAGGCCAGGGGCATTGCCCAGCCAAGGCCCAGGTGCACACACTTCCTCCTAACTCTTAGCTAAGCCTAGCTGGGGAGATGTGGGAGTCAATAGCTCCTTCCGAAAAGGAGTATTAGATATAAAGGGATACCCAGAGCCTATCAGGGACCCCCAAACGGGAATCCCAGGCACCTGGCAGTTCTGCCTCTGTCCTAGAAGTCTGTGATCCCAGCCTGCAGCTGCAGTTTGGACAATCTAAAAACAAACAAACAAACAGCTCTCTCAGGTGGGCCATCAGCATCCTGCCTAACCGTGGTTGCCACCTCAGGGAAGTCCCTTGGAGGCTGCTACTCCCAGCCTTCCCCTTTCCTGAAATTCACAAACACGGTGTTGCTGCTCTCCCCTCCCCTTGGGCAGCTCCTTCAGGCTAGATCTCAGAAGGGAAGACCCTCCTCCCTGCTTGGTGATCAAGGCTGGTCCATCCCCCTCTTCCTGACTGCAGGATCACAATCTGATGACTTCGAGCCTTGGTTTCAGCCTCCCTAACAAGCGTGATGAGGCCAGAGCAGCTCGATGGCCTTCGAAAGCCCTGACACAGGATGCCCAACAGGCAGTGGGTCCTCAGTCAGTGATGGAGAGTAGATATTTCTGACAGGATGGCTGAGAGGGTATCAGGCAGGAGGCCTGGGAGTGCCTAGCAAAGGGAGACTCCATCTCTCGCCATCTGAAACTCCCATTCATAGGTAGGCCAAAGACAAGTTAGTGGCAGGTTCAGACGGCTTCCTGAAGTGGGCAGGTTTCAAGCCAGTCCAAAACAGGCAGCATTTAGTGAGGTACTTGGTTGGGTGTCTGGGCAGGGCCTGACCACAGTACAGGCTCAGAGGCTGAATCCAGCAACGTGGGAGCACCAGGACCTGGGTCTCCTGGAGCAGAGGGCACAAGCTGGGGAGCGGTGCTCAGTGGGGTGATGGAGAGGAAAAGCGTGGAGATCGTAGAGGGGATCAGCACCGACATGCTGAGCCTCTTGGCCTCAGTGACTGTAAAGCAGGGGCTGGAGGAAAACAGCAGCAGAACCAGTGATAGTCAAGTTCTCGCCAGAGTTGAACGCCTCCCAGTCACCCCCAGAGCAGCACGGGTCCCAGCCACTACCTAGGGACCCCACTCCCTGCACTAGCCTGAGGGGGATTCCCCAAAGGCCCAGGGGGTGGGGGCTCCTGTCTTCTGTTTTTCCTCCGTTCTCTTTCCAGAAAAAAATGGAACAATAGTCCAGGCCCCTGCTCCCCGCCCTTCACACCGCTTCCTGTGTTTCCTGCTGCCCCTGGGCTGGCTTCCTGCCCCAGCTCCAGCCCCTGTTCCCTCCCTGGCCCAGCTGCCTGCAGGGGAGGAAAAGCTGGGGGTGGAGGGGTTTCAGGAGAGGAAGGAGCCAGTGATTGCCCCCTCCCAGCCCTGGCCCTAGTTCCCCTGCTTCTCTCCCAGAGTCTGGGTGGTGGTGAAGGGCAGGCAAGGTGCCCTCAGCCTCTGGCATCCAACTTCACAGACCCGGGCCTAGGCCCGAGTTGCTGTCTGTGGGATTGGGGTGGGGGGAGTCCCTGGGCTTGGGGGGGGCTCAGGCAATAAACAATGGCATGATTTTCCTGGACAATGGAGGCCTTGTGAGAAAGCCTGGCTGGGAGAGAAGGGGGAATTCTCTAAGCCCACGAGTCACAGGACTGACCAGCCAGCCCGGCCTGGACCTGACCTCCCCCAATTCGCCCCCAAAGAACACCCCCCCCCAAGTTAGTGCAAGCCTCCTAGAAAGGAGAAGTAGGGACCATGAGAGGGAAGAGGAAGAGGTGTGAGCTGGGCAGGCTACTCCCTAGCCTGACAGAGGCTAGGAGGGGGTGGGGGACAGTAAGGAGTGACTGAAGCTTGCCCCAGCCAGGGTTCTCTAGCCCGCACTGGGTGGCCGCTGACCTCCCATGCCCAAGGTCTCATTCAGACATCAGAATAGTAACTTAGGTTGTGAGAAATTCAGGACCCAATCAGGGTGCAAAACAACCTGGAGGGAAAGCTGGGGATGCAGAGAGAGATGCTTGGCAAATACCAGAGTAGAGAGTTG